GTGATTTAAAGAAAATAATATGGCAAATCCTGAAAATAATATATGAATGACTGAAGTTTCCTCCTTGATGAAATCAAGAACAGGTTAAAGCAGTAGATCCTAGACTTTTAGATTTTAATGATCAATAAAATGTAAAAAAAAAAAAAACGTTAGTGATCAACACAGGGTTGCTGACTTTTTATTGTGCTGAGTAAGGACATTAAGAACAACAAAACTCATAATCCCAGCACTTTGGGAGGCCGAGATGGCTGGATCACCTGAGGTCAGGAGATCACCCTGGCCAACGTGGTAAAATCCTGTCTCTGCTAAAAATACAAAAAATTAGCCTGGCATGGTGGCAGGTGCCTGAAATCCTAGCTACTCAGGAGGCTGAGCCAGGAGAATGGCTTGAACTCAGGAAGTGGTGGTTGCAGTGAGCCAAGATTGAGCCATTGCACTCCAGTCTGGGCAACAAGAGCAAAACTCCGTCTCATAAAAAGATATTTAAAATGTTTTATAATTATAAAAGAAGTATGTGTTGAAAATTTTCAGACCGTACAGTAAATATAAAAAGTCATTTTCTTATTCTTTTTCTCTCCCCTCCCCACTAAGATCTACTCACAGACATTCTGCCATACAGATCTATCTCAGCTTTAGAAAGGAAGTTTTTAACATTATAAATATGTGCATGTATATGTATATTTAATAACATGTAACATTATAATTTATAATATAAAATTAAGCATATATACAGTTATCCTACATAAATATAATATGTACTATGTTTATTCTACATAAAAATATATATCAGAAATACATCCTCTCAGAATGAAGAACAGGCTTTTTCAGGAAAGGACATGTGGAACCTCACTTAGCCATTTGAGAACCACTGATTTGCAAGACCTTCCATCTCTAAAATGCTATGATTAGGTCTAGAATATCCTGAGTATTTACATGTCTTTCATTATTATCACTAACCTACATAATCCAAAATACAGTTAGGAATCTCTTTAACATCTTCTTGAGTAGAAAATCATAGACTGCAATTATTTTTTCAGTCTTTTAATCTGCTTGTTGTATGAGCACATATCTGTGCTCTATCACTGATTATAATTGGTTCCCCACATCAGAGTTTTAGCCTGGGGTCAAAGACTTCAGGGTATTCACAATGCCATGAAAACATATGTGATATTTTGTGTGTATTATTTTTTCTGGGGAAAGTTTCCAACTTTCTACGATCCTAAAAGGTTAGAAACTATGCTTTAGATATCTTTCTTACTTTTGCATTAAATAAGCTTATTCTTAGCTTAAGAGTCCTTTAAAATTTTTTCTTCATTTGCATTTGACAGCTGAATATTTGAGTTCTTTGTTCTCACCTTTAATAGTCTTCTCATTAAAACCAAAACATATTCTCCTCTACCAATTAATCATAAGGAATGTAAATTTTTTACGTAATTTTTATTTTTTGAAGTACTGAAAGACAGAAGAAGGCAGAGACTGATGCCTCACAATGAAAGTGACAGGCAGGGAGACAAGCAGCTAGAGACAGTGAGACACACAGGCACAGATAAAAGGCCTAAGGACAGAGAGAACAGATAGGCAAAAGAAATATAGCAAAACCTGGAAACACAGAAAGGGAGACCCAAGAACTGAGTAGACAGAGAAGAGGGATGGCAGAAAAATAGGCTGGCAGGGAGAGAATGGAGAATGACTGACAGAGAAGACAGGCAAAATCACCAAAAGGGATGCAGACAGGCAGAGAGAGAGCTAAAGAGAGAAGAAGGAAAGACAGATAAAGGAAGAAAAAAATAAGGTAAGAAGGAAGACAAAGTGATAATAGTGGTTTATACAACACAGTGCTTTATAATTTATAAAGTGCTATCACATACATTATTGCAGGCAGAGGGAGAATCCAGCAGACAGATGGGGTGATGGAAGGATACAGGCCAATCAGACAGAAGAAAGGGGAGAGGGCCAATCAGAAAGAGAGGCTAGAACAGAGACCAAGACAGACAGATAAGAAAAAAACAAGAAAAGAGAAGTAAGAGGGAAAGAGGCAAAGAGTGGAGAGACATAAAGATAGAGGATGAAACAGTTAAACTCAGGAAAACAGGCAGTAAAAAAGCAGAAATGAAAGAACAGTGTATTGTGTGTAGAAGTTTTATGATCATCTTTCTGAAAGAGACCTGGTTAGAGGCTGTGTCTTTGTCTCCCTCAAAGAGTTATAAAATGTCTCTAAGGTAGCATGTGAGTGGAGCCAGAAGGTGGGATGAAAAAGGAAAAAAGTTTTAATCAGGAGCAAAGCTTTTTAGACTAGGAGGAAGACAAACTTCTTAGGCCTAGCTCAACAACATAAAAGGATCTAGATTCAGCTGCCCTTAAATGATTCACATAGACTAAGTGAGAAAAGCAGGGAAGTCGTCTATAGACTCTGTGTGCATGTAAGCTGAGTTTACTGTTACTTATTAACTGTACCTATATTTATATGGTACTTTTTAGTACAACCAGTGCTTTCATGCCTTCTCCAATACATATTTCAGTGATGAAGAGACCAACAAAGATGTCTTGCTGTCATCAAGACAACTTACCACACAGAGTAGTCTACATTTGGAGAGAGTAAAGCCTTCCTGAGCACTCCTCAGGTACTGGTAGTAAAAGCATGCAACCAGCAACTAATCAATCAAAAAGACAAGTGCCTTGGGTAGCACTTGGCAGAATCAAAATGACAAAAAAGGCAAGCCCAGCCAAGTTAGTTAGGAGTACTGACAGACTTACAGAGGAAGGAGCATCTGGAAAAACTGGAAGAAAAGTAGGGAGAAGTACAGCAAAACACAAGCAAAAGCAAGCAAGCAAAGAGATGTGTCTATGTGTAGACTCTTCTCTGGAGCAGGATCCAGGAAATGTGAAACAGTGGCTGCTTCTGGGGAGAGGAACTTGGGGACTAGGGGAGAAGAATGGGAGAGAGGCTTACTTTTCACAGTCCACTTTCTATACTTTTAAATGTTGTACCATAAGTAGGTACTACCTGTTTAAAAGTTAACTGGGAAAAAGAAACAAAAGAAAAGAAAAAAGCAAGAAGAGATGTGGACAGCAAGAGCCTGCTGAGCAGACAGACAGCAAAAAGGCAGGAAGGCAGCAAGAGACTGGGAAAATGGCAAAAAGACTGAGGCAGGCAGACTGTCTGAGGAACCAGAAACAGAAAAAGAGATCACTGAAATAAAGGCAAACATGAGAGAAGGCAGGGCAGGGGATGTGGCAAGAAGGCAGATAAGACTTTGAGGCAAAGGGGTTCCTGAGAAGTTTAGGGGAGAGAGACTATCTCCATTGATGGGATGTTGGCAGAGAAGAAGCAAAGGAAGAAAAAGCAGTAAGTACGAAGACTAAAAAGAGAAAAGCATTAAACGGTGGGATAGCAGCATACAGGGTAGACAGGCAAGACAGACCCCAAGGGAGGGAAGGGAAAATGAATAACAGGCAATAAATAAGAAAAGGAACAAGCAGAAGGGCAGGATAAGAGGCAAACCAAGATGGGGTGCCGTGGCAGGGCCTGGAAGGTAGACAAACCAAGAGATGCAAGCTAAAAAAGTGATAGAGACAGGCAGGCGGGGAGACAGATGGCTAGAGAGAGAGTGGTGGGCAAACAGCCAGAGAAGCAGACAGACAACCAGAGAGGAAAAAGAGGCTGCCAGCCAGTCAGGGAGGAGCAGACAGGCAGGCAGGCAGGCAGACACCATAACAGGAGCAAGCAGGTAAAGAGGGAGGCAAAAACAAGGAGAGAAGAAGAAAAATCAAGAGGTTAGGGGGGAGAGAGAGAGAGAGAGAGAAAATGAACAGGAAAGAGATGCAGACAGGCAGAAAGCGGGATGGACAAGGAGAGGGAGAATAAGGCAAATTAGCAAATCCACATGCAAAGCACACTCAAGAGACAAAATGACAAATGTTTGTATAGGGATGCACATGGCCACCTTTAGCCACCTGCACCTGCAGATCATAGAACATGTGGCAGGCAGAGGCTCTCAGTACAGGGAGAGGGCACAGAGGCAGAGAGGCTGCAGCGCACATGATTCGCGCTGCGTGGCCCACATACACGTGGAAACACTCTTCCCAGACACAGTACGATCCACAGACACACACAGAAGGGGCCAGAAAGAGGGGGAGTCAGGCACACAGGAGGAAGAGCCACACGCAGTCAGAGACTGGAAGACAGAAGTAAGCAGAAAGAAGACAGAGATGGAAAGTCACTTAGAGGTGACAGAGCCTGCGGGTCCAAGGGATGAGAATGATAGTCTCAGTTAAAAACAAAGATATCAACAGAGAGAAGCCCACACATAGAAAGAAGGGGATACCCAGATGAACTCGTAAAGAGACTGAGAAAGAAGACAGGAGAGCAAGATCGACTGGAAGAGGAGGAGGAGTTAGACTTAGTACAGAATGATGTGGGAACAGAAGCAAGAGAATTCCAAAGGCCAGGTTGAAAAAAAAAAAAAAAAAAAAAAGGATGGAAACCAACACCCAGTACAGTGCATTAGTGTGGGGAGTGGAGCACTAATAAGGAACATTTTCGCTTCATAAACAAAAATGGGCATCATATTCCCAGTAATACTTTCTGGTTGCTGCCCACCTACCCCTCCCTCTCAGGTGCTCCTGAGCACAGCCGAAGATGGGTGGCCAGCAGTTACACTGGAGAGGTAGAGGAATAACCCAGAAATGATTCCGCAGGCATGGAATAGGAAGCAAGGGAAGGGGCAAAGGGAGATCAAAGGAATGAGAGGAAGCTAGAGTAAGAAAGGGTCAACAAGAATGAAAGAGGGTAGCACTGAGCTATTTGCCCTTCTTTTGCTCCATTTGGCAAGGATCATTTTCTGTCTAGACCTCTCTGAGCAAATCTCTGTATGAGAAAGCTACTTCTGGACTCCTTTCCAACTGTCCAATTCCTAGTACTACTTTACCATAAACACTGGGGTACAGTTGGAAATCACAGGTCAGAAAGTTAGATGAAAACGCCTGAGTGTAGCCCCTACCTCTGCTTTTTCTCAGTCCCGGTTCCTTTCTTTTTCACGGTACCTCGGTTGCTTCTACTTTATCGGATAATGTTGGAGATCATGGAGGAAGGCGAATATACTGAAATGAAAGAAAAGAGCACATAATTTCACCATCTTCAGATTTGACTCTTTCCTCTTTATCCTAAAAATTTGTCCTATTTACCCCCAAATTAATCTCTCAAGTCAGTTGAATTTTACATTCTAGCAATTGGAGGAGGGGAAAGCAAGGGAAAGGGGGAAAAGAGTAAAGATAAAATTTACAACAATTATAAATCACTGAAAAGGCTGGGTAAAGGGGAGAATCAAACATGGACTCCTTTGAAAAAAACTCAATCATCGTATCTATTCATATCTCTCCCCCAAAAGTCACTAGGATTTCTATCACTTTTTTTAAAGAAAGGAGAAAAAAATCCAGTCCCGCTTCTCATTTAAAAGATCTGTACACAATTAAATGCGTTGTGACTTCAATGAGGTATGTAGAAACAGAGTTATATATAAACATATATTTCATCTTTTTCCTTTTCAATGCCTGAAGGGGAAAAAAAACCTTCACATCAAACCACTCCCTTCTGAAGTATTCAAAAAAAAAAAAAAGCTTTTCTTTAGAGAAGGGAGGTGGGGAGGAAGAGACTAGTAAAGAAAAGAAAAAAAATTAAATCTAGTTGGACTAGTATCTAACTAGTTAACCTTTAACAATTTATGCTGATGTCAGACTGAGCATGAGTACTGATTAATGCCCCCCCTCAAATATTTTTTATAAGGGGGGAGTTAGTCACAGCAGCCATTTTTGTTTTATGCAGAAATCCTTCATGCCCCCCCAACACACACAGACACACAGACACACACACACACTTCAGTACACAAGGAAAATATCTCTATTAATCTGTGCACTAATCAGTTATGAAAAAGGAGAAATTTGTGGGTTTCTGGGTAGAGGCTTGGAGATGGGGGTGTAACAGGGAGGAGAATGGGGGGGTGAAAAATGAAATATTAAGCCAGCCATTTTGTTTGAAAAGGGGATTTTCCCCCCTCTCCTTTTCTTTATGGAGGGGGTGGCGGTGCTGGAGGGGGGGTTGTTTTAAAAATAATTTCAAGGCGGCCATCTTAGTGCCTCAGCTCTGAGAAATATTTCTGAGCGCCCCCCTCAGAATTTAAATATATTTAAAGCAACGGAGAGGGGGGCAGAGAGAAGTCGAAAACTTTTATATATATACACACATATATATGTATATATATATATATATATTTTAAATCCCCCTTTCTTGTTCTCTTGGGAGGAAAGAGAGAAGGAAAAAAAGTCTTTCCTCAATTTTTTTCCAAGACAATTTTTGGGGGTGGTTTGGCCCCCCTCCTCAGACGGCGGCCCCGAGGGTGGGGGTTTCGGAGGGGGGTGGCCCGGGGGTTTGGGGGGCTGGGGGAGGAGGTGAGGAGGAGGAGGACGCCGCCGCCGAGGAGGAGGAGGAGGAGGAGGAGGAGGAGGTGGTGGTAGCGGTGGGGGAGGCGGGCGGGCGGTGGGTGGGGGGGTGGTGGGGGGGCCAGAGCCACAGGATGGCTTCCCCTCTGAGGGACGAGGAGGAGGAGGAGGAGGAGATGGTGGTGTCGGAGGAGGAAGAAGAGGAGGAAGAAGAGGGCGACGAGGAGGAGGAGGAGGTGGAGGCGGCCGACGAGGACGATGAGGAGGACGATGACGAGGGAGTACTCGGGCGCGGGCCGGGCCACGACCGGGGCCGCGACCGCCACAGCCCCCCCGGCTGCCACCTCTTCCCGCCGCCGCCGCCGCCGCCGCCACCGCTGCCCCCGCCGCCGCCGCCGCCCCCGCCGCCAGGTAAGCGGCCGCCCGACTACCCCCCAAGCCCAAGTGGGAGCCGCGGGCGCGCGAAGCCGGGCGGGGGCGAGACACCCACCGCGCGGCCGAGCCGAGGCGAATCCGGGGCGGGAATCCGGGGCTCGGGCCCGTGGCCCTGCGGCGGTACGGGCGGTCGGTGGCGGCCGCGACCGCGGGGCCAGGCCTCCTCCCCTCTCCCGCTGCACCCCTCCCCCGCCGCCACCACCACCGCCGCCACCGCCGCCGCCGCCGCCACCCCGGCTGGAGAGCGCCGGGCGCGAGCTGCGCGCGCGGACCGGGCCACTCGGTCGCGGCTTTCGGGGGAGGAGGAGGAGGAGGGTTTTTTTTTTACCCTCGGCGGGGAGGGGGTAGGCAGGAAACGGCCGAGGCGAAGCCAGGGCCCCCTCCCTGGCCGAGCGAGGGACCGCGGAGACCCTGGCGGCCGGACGGCGGCGTGGGGGAGGGGTGCGTGGGGGAGGGGCGGCCGCGCGAGCGCCCCTCGGGCTCGGGCCCCGGTGGGGTTGGACCGAGGGAGAGCGGGGTTTCCCCGCACGGAGCAGCCGGCGGGCCTGCCCCCCTCCGCTCAGGACTTGGGCAGGCAGAGGGGGAAAGGTGTCCATCGGACCCCCCCTCCGCCCGTGGGGACTTAGCTGCCCGCCAACTGAGGGGCGTTAGGTGGCACGAGAGGGAGGGGTCGTGTGAATGTTTGTGGGCTGCTGATGAGTAGGGGCAGGTGGTGGCCACAGTCCACGCAGACCACTTCCTGGAATAAGACTGGAGCTCGTCTCCTCGCTCCCCCAGCCTCTTCAGGGGACAGCAGTCCCTTAGGATTGGGGAGCGGAGAGGAGAGTGTCTGGGGAACCAGATGCCCCCAGCTCCACCCCCTTCATCTCTCCGGGGCTCTGGGCTCTTTTGTGTCAAGTGCGGTGGGGGGGGTCCCCCTCCTGACCCCGTCAGTCTGGGGTGGCCAAGCTGCCCAGCTGTGACTCTCGCGCGGCTGCCATTCACTGTCACTCTCTCTAGCTGAAACCACCCACTCCCTGAGCACGTTGGGGGGCGTGAACTGCCCACCCAGCTGTTCTGCAGCTTGACCATCACTCAGCACCCGTCCCCCGGGGTGACAAGTCACCCGGCGGAATTCTCTGGGAGGCGCTCTCCAGACCGCTGCGCCGCGTCAGGCGCCCAGCGGTGTCCCCCTCAGACCACCCTCCTAGTGGAGTGATTTCTAGTCTTTGGGATAGGTGAGCATCGGGGTGTCCACACCCCCTGCTTGGGGAACAGCAGGGGACGTCCGCACCCCCAGGCCTCTGGCTGCCATGCGGCACAAATGCAGCAAACTTCAAAACGGCCAACATCGGGCTCTTTGTAAAACTGTCATATTGAACCGTGTGGCTTCTGTGGCAAACGTTCCCGTCTAACTGAGACGACCTTTGGGGGAGAGGAGGGTGCTTTCTTGTGTGTCGGGGAGGGATGTGTCTCCTGGAAACAGGATAAAGTCTCCCCGCCCCCCCAAGGTTGTCTGAAAAAGAGAAAAGTTTTGAAAAAGTTCTCCCCGAGAGCCCCCCCCGCCTTGGCAGGAGGGGAAGGAAAGGGGAGTTGTGGGGAGAGGGTGCCTTTGGGGTTGCCTCCGGCAGAGGCGCTGAAAAGAGGGAAAGAAAGGCCGCCAGGTCCTGCCAGGGGCTTGGCAGCGCTCACCTATTTGTATTGGGACTCGGAATCTGGGGTGGGTTGGGGTGGGTCCCGGATCTGGGTACGTGGGGGGAGAGAAGCGTGAAAGGATCGGAGGTTGAGATGGGTCTTTGTGTCAACCGGGCCTCCCCCTTCCCCCTTGGCTTTCTGAATAGACCAGAAGAAACGTCAAAGGCTGCTTACATTTTACATCAGAAATGAAAACCCACCTCCCCTTTCCCCCTGGGCAATTTTTATCTCCCTTTCAGCCCTCCAAGTCAAATGAGTGACCCAGATACACCCCCTCAGATGACTTTCGGAGGTAAAACTTCGGGAAAATATTTTTAGCCCACTCATTATTTCTGTCTGCCTAAGTGTGGGGAAAATAACCCTCCTCTAAGGAAATTTGTTCAGGCTGCACTCGCTCTTGTCTAGAATATGCATTTGTGCACAGGAGAGGTTTCCATTGTTTTCCATTCCGACTGCTTTGATTCTCACCATTTTGTTTTACATTCTTACCCAAGACCAATTTTATCCCTTCCCCCTCTCTTCAGTCTCCTTACATTGTTAAGCGTTTAAAATAATAGCACTCGTGTTGGTGGGGGAAGGGAGCAGGAAGCCAAAAACTCATTTCTTCTCCCTCCCCCTTCTGGCAAGTCGAGAGAAATAATATAACATAATATATAGATGTGATTCCTTGGAGGTGGGGGTGGGGAATGATTGTGGGTGGTGCGGAAAATTCTGGTAGTTTCTTTGCAAAAGGTCTGAAAATACAAACCCACCCCCTGCCTGCAGTACGCATGTGCAGCAGACCTATTATGGTGGTTCGTTGTGGGGGAGGGAGGGGAATTTGAGAAAAAATAAATATATGTGTGAGAGATTGATGGTGAGATTAGAAGGAGAGGGGCGGGCGGGAGGCGAGGCTTCGGCCGAGACTCCTCCCGCCGCTTTCTCGGGCGGCCAGGCTCCGCCCTGAGCCCGCCGGCCCTCCCCACCCCCCCGCCCCTCCGAGATCAGAGCCGGGGATGTGGGAGAGTCTGGGCTCCAGGCCAGCATTGAGTGCCTGTTGAGACCGAGGTTGGGACTTAGATTTGCTTTATTACCCTTCCTTGCCTTTCCTCGCCATTCTTGCTTTGCCTCTCCCGCCATCGACGGCTGCCCAAGTTCGGGAACCTCCTGCTGGGGTGGGGAGTACAGTGAACCGGCTTGTGCACCAACCTTGGCTGGTGTTGGTGGAGGCCCGGTCCCTGATTCTTAGCCAGTTGGCCTGCCCTTGCCACTGCTCCGGCAGCCTCCGCTTCCATGTTCAAGTCAACCGAAGTCCTAGGGGTCAGGGTAAGCCGGCTGCTGGGGCATGGCGCCTTCCTTACTGACTTCCTATTACAGTCCCCATTCCGTTTCACACCCGGGCTCTCGACAGCCACCCTCCATGCACACACGCACGCAGTCCTATAGTGTCTTCCTGCACAAGGGGACACAGGATGCTGGAGTTAGCAGGAAAGGTAGCACTGAAGGAAGGAGAGGCTGCGACTCTGAGCTACTGGAAAACGAGGCCTCTGGTGTTAATTGTGGCTAATTTTCCGTTGGCTGTTGAGGGAGGGAGAAAGGATTGTGTGTCCTAGAGCTAGGGGCTGGGCCAAGCCTAGGCTTTCCCGTCCTGCAGCGGCTGCCTCTGCCTGTGTAGACAGGTCTGGCTGGTTAGTCTAGTGCTTGGTAGAGGAGGGAGGTGAACCAGAGCCCCAGGGCCTCAAGTCTGTGGGGCGTCCTGTCTTCCTCCCTATGGAGTAATGCTCCATTCCCCAAGCCTTCACAGAGTGACACTTTTACAGATAATGGGGTGGGGAGATATCAGGGAAGAGCCTGCCTGGGACCCTCTGACAGAGACATCTGGGGAGAAAGCCAGGAACCTAGTCCTGCTGAAGCAGGTACAGGCCATCCTCTGGATCTGTAGGCCAGAGAGAGAGAGAGAGAGAGAAAGAGAAAGAGTGCGCGCGCGCTTTTGAGAAGGCATATGCTGGGTGTGTCTGTCTGTTCCTATATCTTTGTTTGGGTCTTCTATACTGCGTATAGATGAGTGGGTCAGGATATCCGAAACAAAATATTGAGGTGAAGGGTAAGATCAGGAAACAAAGGGTATAACCCCCAAGTTCTCAAAGGGAGCAAGGAGATGGGAATAGAATTGAAGGTAGATTTCAGGTTACTTGGGAGAAGGAATGTTTAGGTAATTGTGGAGACTTTCTCCTGCCGAATTAGAGTGTGATGATGGAGGCAGACACTGTGATCCTGTGGGCAAGAAGTAAAAATTACCAGCTGAGGGTTTCTTTTCCTCCAGGACTCTGTAGGGGTGACAGGATGCCTGGTCATTATCCAAGGAAATGTAAATAGAGGCCTCCCTCTTGGCAAAAGATGTCAGGGCCCCAGGGTGTTAGTGTGAGAACCCAGGTGTCCACCTTTGGCTCTCCCTCCCTAGCATCTGGCTTAGGGAGCTGCCAGCTTGTGTCTCCCCACTCCAAGTGCTGGGGTCAGGCCAGGCCAGCAGCTGGGCATGGCTTCCCCAGTTCCTGGGCAGGATGCCAGCTGGCGAAGTGAGGGGGAAGGCAGGAGGAGCCCTGGCGGTGACTGAAAGGACCTGCCACAGTCACAGCCCATGGCCTGGAGCCTGGTCCCTTGTTAGTAGGAAGGGAGGGAGGGGAGTGGTTTGGCTGCTCTTCTCTTCTGAACCCTGACCTCCCATTCAGAACCAGAGCATCCCAGAGTACTCGAAACACTTTCTGTTTGCATCCAGTGAAGGGAGGCAGGGCTTGGAGGAGTTAATGCTGAGTTCCTAGAGAGTGGGAACTGCGGAGATGGGGAAGGGGCAAGCAGAGGGGCCTCAGAGACTGGAAACCTAGAGGCTTAGGTATTCTTGTGCCTTTTGCTTCAAAGATAAAGATGACATTCGGCTGCTGCCTTCAGCACTGGGTGTGAAGAAGAGAAAACGAGGACCCAAAAAGCAGAAGGAGAACAAGCCAGGAAAACCCCGAAAACGCAAGAAGCGTGTAAGTGTCAAGAATTCCTAACTCTGTGGCAAGGCTCAAGAGGCGCGTTCTCGGCTGGGCGCGGTGGCTCACGCCTGTAATCCCAGCACTTTGGGAAGCCAAGGAGGGGGTGGATCACCTGAGGTCAGGAGTTCAAGACCATCCTGGCCAACATAGTGAAACCCCATCTTTACTAAGAATAGAAAATTAGCCAGGTGTGGTGGCACACGCCTGTAGTCCCAGATTCCCGGGAGGCTGAGGCAGGAGAATTGCTTGAACCTGGGAAGCAGAGGTTGCAGGGAGCCAAGATCATGCCACTGTAGTCCAGCCTGGGTGACAGAGTGAGACTCTGTCTCAAAAAAAAAAAAAAAAAAAGACCCATTCTTCTCAGAGACCTACATTTTCTCTGGTCCTGATGATTGGTGTTGGGGTGGGGTCCTGAAGCCAAGGAGGCTTGCCTGCCCATCCCCCAATTCCCTGCCACTGTTGGCCTGTATCTCAGGGATCTGGGACCCTAACTTCATTCGACGAGACCTAGCGAAGAGCCCCGTTGTCAATTTGACTTGCCTCAGCAGCAAAGAGAAGCAGTTGAAAGCACAAGCTCCAGAGGACTGGATGAATTCAAGAGCCCAGCATTCCTCTGCCTAGGATGCCAGTCCATTGATTTGGCTCTCTGTGCCTCAGTTTCCTCATCTGTAAAAAGTAGATACAAATTGCTGCCACATAGGATTGTTGTGAATATTAAAAGAGATAAGATATAATATGTGCTGAGAACAGTTTCTGGCACATAGTAGGAATGAATAAATGTTATTTTTATTTCTTTTTCTTAGGACAGTGAGGAGGAATTCGGTTCTGAGCGAGATGAGTACCGGGAGAAGTCAGAGAGTGGGGGCAGTGAATATGGAACCGGACCCGGTCGGAAACGAAGAAGGAAGCACCGAGAAAAAAAGGAGAAGAAGACAAAGCGGCGGAAAAAGGGGGAGGGAGATGGGGGGCAAAAGGTGAGTAGAATTAGGGAATGAGAGTGAGAAATCCGCATTGAAGATGCGCATGAAGTGGGGAGGAATGGAGACTGGACTGGAAAATGGAGCAAGAAGCCAGAAAGCCCAGGGAAGCTGGTGGGTAGGTAGACAGGTGTGTGTGTGTGCGGCCCAGAATAGGGGCTGGAGGAGCACCTACTTCACCAAAACTCTTTTCCCACAGCAGGTGGAACAGAAGTCGTCTGCAACTCTGCTTCTGACCTGGGGCCTGGAGGACGTGGAACATGTGTTCTCTGAGGAGGATTACCACACACTCACCAACTACAAAGCCTTTAGCCAGTTCATGAGGTGCGGTAAGA